TACACACCTATCAGAATGGCCAAAATCCAAAACACCGACAACACCAAATGCTGGTGAGAGTGTGGAGCAACAGGAACTCTCAATCATTGCTGGTGGGAATGCAAAATTGTACAGACACTTTGGAAGACAATTTGGCAGTATCTTACAAAACAAAACATACTCTTACCATACGATCCAGCAGTCACACTCCTTGGTATTTACCAAAAGGAGCTGAAAACTTATGTCCACACAAAACCTGCACATAGTTGTTTATAGCAGCTTTGTTCGTAATCTCCAAAACTTGGAAGCAACCAAGATGTCCTTCAGTAGGTGAATGGATAAATAAACTGTTGTACATCCAGACAATGGAATATTATTCAGTGCTAAAACATAATGAGCTATCAAACCATGAAAAGACATAAAGGAAACTTAAATGCATCTTATTAAGTGAAAGAAGCCAATCTGAAAGGGCTGCGTACTGTATGATTCCAATTATATGACATTCTGGAAAAGGCAATACTATGGACACAGTAAAAAGATCAGTGGTATCAGGAGCTGGGAAGGGGGAAGGATGAATAGTTGGGACATAGAGGATTTTTAGGAAAGTGAAAATACTCTGTATGATACTATAATGATGGATACCTGTCATTATACATTTGTCAAAAATCATGGAACGTACAACAGCAAGAGTGAACCCTAATGTAAACTATGGACTTTGGGGGTTATGATGTGTCCATGTAGGTTCATCAGTTGTAGCAAAAGTACCACTTTGGTGTGGGGTGTTGATAACGGAGGAGCCTACGCAAGTGTAGGGGTTGGAGGTATATGTGAAATCTCTGTACCTTCCTCTTATTTGCTGTGAACCTAAAACTGCTCTAAAAAAAGTCTTTTTTTAAAAAGATACCTGGAACCAGACATTTTCTAGGGATTCGTGGGTCATTTTAGGAGGAAATTGAATTGAGAAACTAAGATCTAGGCACTAGGTGTGCTCAATTGCCCCCGATGTGTCTTTGCTTCTAGGCCCTTTTAGTGGAGAGAGCTAAGATACACACACGCATCATGTGTTAAAACTGATAACTGCAATTCCAATTAAATACTACAGGATTTCTTCTAGTCTTCCCTCTCTTCATTTTTGTAACTCCATTCTCTAACAGTGAAACACCCAGCTCTCATTATCATCAATATATTTACTCGTTTGCTCAATCTTACAATACATTAGTCCAACCCCTACTGCTGAGAAAAACAATCTTTATAACTGAAATTCAGTATTTGTTTATGTATTTTTTTTTGTCTTTAGACTTTGATTATATGGTCAAAGAACTGTATTTGAAAGTTACTCAGGTTTTTTTTTAATGTTATTATTATTCCCTTTTGTGTGGTTATGTTATCCACTTGAATTCAGTTAGGTTAATTTGTTCCTGGGTCTATTCCATTTCCTCCCTCGTTCTTGTTTATTTTATTTTACTTTTTAAAAAATCTAAAACATTAACATTTGTCCAAAAGTCAAAACTCTATAAAAAGTTGTTCTCAAAGAAATGTCACTCTCTCATCTCTTCTATTCCATTCACATCCATCCTAGGCAGTCAATTTATCAGGTAATCAATTTCATTAGTTTCTGGCTGATCCATCCTATACTTATTTTTGATAAAAATAAGCATATACATTAGAAGTTTCTTATTTTCATTCTTTCTTACAGAAAAGGTAGCACATTATATATAAAGTGTCTTAAAGCTTTGCTCTTTTCATTTAATAATGTATCTTGGGAATATGCCATATTAGTTCATAGAGATCTTTCTCATTCTTTTTATTCCAGCTGCATAATGCTCCACTGTGTGAATGTACCATAATTTATCAATCAGTTTCCTATGTGTGGAAATTTGTGTTGTTGCCAATATTTTGTAATTACAAGTAATAAATAATGTTGGGCAAACGCACTTTTATTTTATTGGAGGTGTAAGCCATGACTTTTAAATTAGCTCCTTTTCTTTTTCTTTTTCTCAAGTTAAACATATATAAAATTATCAAAAGGTATTAACTCTTTTTTCATGTGTAAAAACAAAGATTCATGACAATGTGCTTTCTGAAAAGCCATATAGAAATTATATGGTCTGGAAAACTGTAACTACATTTTGTGGAAGTAGAAATTGTACCACATATTTGTATAACAGCAAGGCAAGTGTGGTCTCTAGGAAGTATAGGTAAAGTTGATTAGATTGCAGTGTATACTTAAAAGTTGAATAATGCACTCTTGTAAAACACTCTTCAAAATTATTTAACTTCCCATGATATCATCACAGCATGTGCAAAAAAAATCTTTAGTGTTATCTTTTCCTGTCACATGACTAGTGCAAACAAAAGAAATCCTTATCTTTTTGTTTCTATTCTTGCCCTTTATAAAATGGCATGAAGCACCATTCAAAACTTACACATTAAAGGTTTGGTTTGGGGAAAAAAGATTTATTTTGTATTTCAAACAAATTATATTTGTTAAACTGAAGCTGTCTAACATCTTATATGCATAGAAAACTTTATAATTTTAAAACCACTTTCCTAAATATTTTCACATTTAAGTCTCATAGCAACTCTAGGCATAGTGAACTAGGCAGGAGTTATATTGTGCTTATTTTACAAAAGAGGGAACAGAGGCATTTAGAGAGTTTAAGAAAATTGCCCTGGGATGTAGGACTCTGGACTAAATCCTGAGCTGGAATCCAGGACAATTATTTTTCTTTACAAAGTGGGATGTGCCCATCTCATAGGCTTATTGTGGTGATCAAATAAGATAATGTACTTGAAAATGCTAAAGTTGTACAAAGAAAAGATAGTTCTATTATTATTAAAGTATTTGGGCTTTGGTGACTATGCATAAAATTTCTCCATATTTTAGTACTATTTATATAAGTAGTAAAAGAGATTTGAAGAGTCTAAGAGCTACGGATCACACAGCAGGACTTAGAGTGTTCATGTGGTGAAATATTTTATAGACTGAACTAGTACCTCAAGGAGCAGGTGACGATGCTATATATCCATTGTGGAATAATTAACAGCATTATATTTTGCACAGAACTTAGACCTTGAAACAAACCTCATTAAAAGGTACTTGATCTTAGTTTTAAACCTTTAAGTATCTCTTCTTTAAAAAGTGATCAATGTAGGCACTGGCTACTTTGGTTATCCCGCTATGAGATTCACACAACTTTGATCTAACTTTCTTTGATTTAACACTGCAATTAAGAAGATTTGGTTCAAAGTAAAAGCTCATTGGTTGATGTTTTACACTGATGTGATAATGTTTACACAGATGTGCTTTGAAATCTTGATTATGGTGGATTTGGGGGTCCTACCACAAGACAGACTGTTAATTGAAAGGTGAAATAATATGACATTTACCTGGTGCAACCTTTAAAACAGACTTAGCAATATACATTTCTAAAGTGATTTATCTGTTTATTGTTTTTAGCCAGTGTTTTTGTTTTATTTCATATCTATCATCAGTAAATCACTTGTTTTAAGGACTCTTTTATAACTTGGTTGCACAAGGGTCAGTACTTAGGGCCATAGTGATGAAAAGGTGTAACTTTACCTACTTTAAAGCACCTGCCAATTAATTGGCAGAAGACTCTTCAGAGCAAATAAACTAGAGCAGACCCATCCATTTGCGCTCCCAGATTTAGGCTTTTGCTGAACGGACCATGAAACAAGGCTGAAAAACTCATCTTTAGTGATTCCCTAAAAGTTTTTGCTCAGGGGAAGTGTAAATCTGCCAAATGATACTCAACTTTTCTGCCACTGAAAAATTTTAACAGAAAGATCGCAAATTTAACTAGTAGTACAAAACCAAAGTTTTAAGATTTAAATGGACATGAATCCAATGCCTTCGCTTCAGTGACTTTTTACTTTACAAATATGCACAGGCACGCTTCCATGTTTACCAGTAACTTTTCATATTTCAAAACACATCAAGAATCAACACTGTTTTCTGTTTAGTTGTTTTTGTAACTGAAACGTAAACAAAAAATCGAGCCTTAAAGAAAACGCAACTGAGAAGAAAGGCGAAGTGCCCTTAGATTGGATAAGGGCCCCAGAGGCCACTCATTGTTTATGACACTATTACAGATATTATTTTCTATTCATAGCAAATATAAGAATGTAAACCATCTCTTTTCAGCCTATTTGGATTTACTCTTAATCCTAGATTCATGATTATATTATGTTATTATATCATGTTGATTAAAAGTCCATGACCTTAGCACAGAATTTAAAACTTCTATAAAGGGAGAAGGGAATCTTGGTTACATCATGTGCTATCTGAGTAAAAATAAACATTAAAGAGAACCTGGGAAGGGGGGTGTGTATGTTCCTAACCTAACCTTGATTATGTAAAGAAAATCCCCCATCTAAATGATAAAAGAAAAGAGTAATGCTTGTACATTTTATTAGTGTTTTAAAATTAGTGAGCTAAACTGTCAAAGCTTTGATTTTCCTTTCATATGTGTCTGGGCAGGTCTAAGCCTCAGGTAACGCCCTTTTTCCTTCTCCCTCTCTTACTTTTCTTTGCACCTGTCCACTGCAGGCTCCCAGCAGCTCCCAAAGAGTCCAATTCTCCTCCTCTTCTCTCCTTTTCCTCCTCCTCCCCTCCCCCTCTCCCCGTCTCCCCTCCCTCCCCTTACCCTTTCTTCTATATACCTGCCAAGCTGGGCTCCTCTTAGCAGCGATCTATCACTGCAAAGGAGCTCACATCAAAGGCGGTTGTACAGCAGCAGCCGAACAGCATCACGGTTGTGCCAAAGACAAACCCGAAGAGGGGCCTTGACTGCGTCTCCCCGAAGTTGCTGGCTAGCTTTGGCCAAGTGTGGGAATGATTTTTGCGACTGCATGGATAGAGAACCGTCAATGGCCCCTTTTGGTCACTTCCGAAGAGCAAAAACGTGTTGAGAGGAGGCCGGTTTAAGATTTCAAACAGAACCTCCCCAGCGAGCATGAAAGGACTTGATTAGCATATGTCAAGAGGACCCGCATATATACTCGGTGTGTATGTACACAGGACTCTGATCTGATCAGTTTGCGGAGTTGGAGCCCCGGCCCCCAGCCCCAGCCCCTGCCCCAGTATTGGCAGCGGCAGCTATAGATGTTTCTGCAAAGCCAGCAGCCGGCTCCCACCTACCCAAGGAGAGAAGATCACTCCAAGACAGTGAAAGCTTCCCTGCTGTCTCAGTGCAAAGTCCATTCAGCGACCTCACAGGAGTAACGGGGCCTTAACTTTTTGCGTTTCTTTTGCTATAATTTTCTCCATTCACCTCCCCATCTCCGCTACAATTTTTACTGGGGGTCTTTTGTTTTCCGGATCCTCCGTCTCTCCCTCTGGCCCCTCCATGGCTCCCTTAGCCGAAGTCGGGGGCTTCCTGGGCGGCCTGGAGGGCTTGGGCCAGCAGGTGGGCTCGCACTTCCTGCTGCCTCCTGCCGGGGAGCGGCCGCCTCTGCTGGGCGAGCGCCGGGGCGCGGCGGAGCGGGGCGCCCGCGGCGGGCCCGTGGCTGCGGAGCTGGCGCACCTGCACGGCATCCTGCGCCGCCGGCAGCTCTACTGCCGCACCGGCTTCCACCTGCAGATCCTGCCCGACGGCAGCGTGCAGGGCACCCGGCAGGACCACAGCCTCTTTGGTACGTACTGGCATCCCAGCACCCCCCGCACCCCCTGCTCCTCTTCACCTGGTGCCCCTCCTTCCCCGCCTGCGCCTCCGGGAGGGCTGCGCGGAGCCCGAAGCCCCCGCGATCCATCCTGTGCGAGGTTCGGGCTGGGGCTGAAGGGCGGGCCAGCGCAGGAACGGGGGGACTTTTCCTGCCCGCTTGCAGCCGCAATCTCGAGCAGGCCTGCTGCTCCAGATGCTGGGGGCGGGAGGAGAAAGGGTGGGGGATCCGCACGCGCCTTGCTGCCCTGCCCTTCCTGCTGCCTGGGACACCAACACCTGGAATCGGAATCACAGCTGTGTCGCAGGCAGATTTTTAAATCTCTATATTATTTTCTCCTTTCTCTCACATTTCCCCCAGTACCGTCCACTTAACAAAAATTAATAGCAGGAAGCATTCTGCTTCTTTAAACATGCCCCGCGGTGATGCAGTTGATTATGCGTTCATGGCTACTGCTCAGAGGGTCGCTCTTGTACAGGATGCGAGCATTTACGCGTCCACCTAGAGAACCGTAAATGTTCACCCGAAGAGGTAACAGATTAACTTTCCATGGGCACCGTCGCTACTGTCAGACTCACCTGGCTGCATTTTACTGCGCTCTTAAAGTTCTATTTGAGTGAGCAAAGAAAAAAAAAAAGCCTACCTGGCTACTGAGCATGCCCAGTCCTTCAGCCGAGCTCCTCTTTAGAAATCCCGAAAAGAAACCCGAAAGCAAAGATCTGAGTATTGACCATGCGTAAGAGGAAATGGGGAAGCGAAAGAAGATATGGGTGGGAACACACAGGGCCACGTTTCAGAATACCGCCAGCAGTGCCTGCGAGCAGGAGTTAAAAGAAAGAAACAAGCAAATGATTGTTAAGGCAAATTGTTAAGACACTAGATTGGGAAATCATAAGGTCTCTACTGTTAATTACTCGCTAACTAGCTGTGTGACTAGCAATGCCCTCACCAGTCTGAGTCTTAGTTTTCTTGTCTGTACAATGATGGAGTTAAATTGTGGTACCTTTAAGATGCTTTCCGTTTCTAACATCCCAGCATAATTCCTCCACTGCGGAAGTTTTCATTATATTAGAGTTAAAGGGATAGAGCACTCTCAAAGAATTTTGATCATTAAACTTGGGACATGATTGCAGAGATTCATAGTATTTTTTTAAAGGTGCCATTTACTTGTCAGCAGCCATGTGAAACTGCCCAACAGTGTCAGCTTCCTTTCCCTTCCTTACCCTTGTGGGATTCTTCGAGAATCTCATCTCTGAGTCGCCCTCTCTTATCTTGTCCTCATCCCCTTGTTCTTATATCTCATTCCATTTTTGACTTGTTGCACTCGTTAAAACTTGGGAGAAGTGTAAATCTCGGTTGGAGGGGCATTTGTAGCTCTAGATGTAGAAATGAGCATGTGGTGGTAATTTGGTAGCACTTAAAGGCTTAGAAAATTAACTTTTTAAAACCCATATGTTTGCAGCTTCCACTGATCTCTTCCAAATTCCCATTGACTATGAGTCAAGAGTGTCATGACCTAGTGGCCAACCTTGGGGTCACTTTTGGAAAGTGGTTTCTAAATTGAGGAGGCTGAGATTCTGATTCTAAAGAACTTGGCTGACACCAGGCGGCTCAGTTCTCTTGCCTTGAAGAATTCCTGCACTCCATCCATTACAGAAAAATCCTCCAGCTACCAGAAAGATTTAGACATGGACACAAATGTGATAAGGCCTATAAGTAGAACAGGTAGAAGTTAATCTTGGGTAATATTCAGACTTCCTTCCTGCAGTACATAGTGTAGCCTTGGAAATTCTGCTTTTGAGACACTTGTAATTCAACTATAATCTCCCCAATGACAAGAGTTGCTTCTTCCACTTTGTGTCTCTTGATAAGACTGACGCTATGGGAAGAGATTAGTAAATATTTGTAGACTTGATAACGTTCATTAAACTCGTATTTAAATCCATTCCTTACGAAATGAAGCTCTTGGGGCCGGCGCCGTGTCTTAGCGGTTAAGTGCGCGCGCTCTGCTACTGGCGGCCCGGGGTTCGGATCCTGGGTGCACACCGACGCACCGCTTCTCTGGCCATGCTGAGGCTGCGTCCCACATACAGCAACTAGAAGGATGTGCAACTATGACATACAACTATCTACTGGGGCTTTGGGGAGAAAAAGGGAAAAAAAGGAGGAGGATTGGCAATAGATGTTAGCTCAGAGTGGGTCTTCCTCAGCAAAAAGAGGCGGATGGACATGGATGTTAGCTCAGGGCTGATCTTCCTCACAATAAGAAGAAAAAAAAAATGAAGGTTGCATATCAGAATTATCATCTTAATAGGACATTTTTTTTTGCTAAAATTTTGTGTAATTATTTAGTAATTGCAAAAATATGACTGACTTATTTTGTGCTGATTTGTCACTCTCTGATGGGAGGCTACGTATCAGAACAAAATATTTACTGACACATGAAGGGAAGATAACAGATTAGTTTGGTAGCTAAAGGAGTGAAAGCCTCTATGATGCATGACAGTGCATCCTAGTGGCCTCTGATTGCTAAGACGTCATAATTTACTACAAGGGAGTGGAGATGACAAGGAAAGTTTATGTTTAGCATGTATAACATTATATGCTTCTCTCTATATTTGCTTTCTATTTCTAGTATTTCAATTATTAATTATGAAATTATTTTGGTATTTTTCTTTTAAACTCATTTCTGTGTCATCAAAGTAAGAAGTTTGAAAAAGCTTAAGAATGGCTATTTGAGATATTAAAGTAAATTACGTTTCAAATTTATACTGATTTGGCCATGATTAAATAAAAAATTCAGAATCCTGTGTTTTAAAATTTCAAAACCAGGTCAATAGATATAAACAAAAAGTTCCCAGCAGGGTTTAAATAATTGCCTATCTCAGCTAGCTCTAAACTTATAACAGTTTTTCTGCACAGTAGGACGGTAGGGAGATTTTACTTAATACGTAAACATGGAATCATTACTTAAAAAAAAAGTTTAGCCTGAGATCAAACATATTCCTTTAAAGGCTTTTCCTTTATTCTCCCATATTCTCCACAGATTTGTCTGATGTGGTTGCATTGTGGGTTGACTCACCTGTTTATTATGATTTAAAAAAAAAACCTGGCTTTGAAAATGATACCAGAAAGACAAAGTACCTTCAAGTCTTTTTATGGGACACTGGGCATTAGAAAATCTATCTAAAATCTGTGATTACCTCTTAAGGAAAGTTTTTCATGTCTACTCTTTGTTAAGGAATTAGCTTAGTTGCCACCTCCTATTATAAATAAGAAAGACTTGTCAAATCTCATTTAAGAATCAAATGATTACAAATTACTATGTGGTATACTATTTCTTTGAGAGACAACGGATCAGAATTAAAAAGTGTGGCTAAAATCTTTAAGAGGAACACAAAAAAACACATAACCTTTTTCCCATCATCCCCCATGAGCCATTGCAAAATTATTTATGCCTAGTTATGTATGAAGTTTTGGATGTCATTTGAGAAAGTTGAAAATATTGAATATCATCATTCTAAGAAGATATGTAATTTCTTGTTTCTCTACAACTACATATTTTTTTGGACAAGAAAACAGAATTATCTTAAGATGAGGATTAAAGTATAGGTGGTTTACCATTTAGTTTTTCAAGAAAAATCGATACTTGATAAGACCTGTTATATAAATGGTTCATATGGAAATGAAGCTTATATTTTATTGTACTTGAAAACTGGTTCTATTATACATTCTAATCAGCTAATCAGTTCCTGTTCTTTGAAAGACAAGAATATCTTAATGTAAATCAGATACTTAAAGAGAATTAAGTTACATGAGAGCCATAGTACACTTTTCAAATTGAATTTAACATTCAATACAACTTCAAGTAATTATGCATTTGTAAGTATATCCTAGATGAAATTCCATTAATATAGCTTCTTCTACTAATCAAGTTTTGGACCTATATTTTTGTTTGTAACAAGAATCGCTCACTAGTGAGCTTGACAGTAACTTTAGTTTTCATTTACTCCCCATCTCTATATTTGTCATTATAATGGCTATCCAACAGCTGTATCTTGTCTCTGCCTTTGGCTCTCAATTAGGGACACTGACTCTTTCAAGCCACTTATGGACTATTTAGTAGTGTATTGTTGCTGTAAGATCCTTGATAGCTCTAGTGTTATACGTGATCTCCTAATAGTTTGAAAGAGTTCATTTGAGCTCTTAAGAATCTATGTTTAGAGTTTAAGATCTGTGTTTCTGCTGAAGAGTGAATTAGGCTCTGGACAGAATAGAGCCTTCTGTATAAGCACATAGCCAGACTTTGTCCTTTCCCTTGGCCTTGGGGATGTCATGTGTCCAAACAGGAACTTGTACAATAAATCAAGAAATGACTTAAGAGCAAGAATCAGGCTAAATGGCACACATTTATACTGTTTGTAGAGCTTAAGAGCAGGTGAAGGAGTAAAGGCAGAAAGCTATTGAGGAAGGCAGTTCCAAGCATAGAAAGTATGTCTATATTCTTTTTCAGCAGAGTCTAATGGGAAGAACAAGACAAAGACACTAGTCCAAAAGTTAGTGTTTGCGGAGGAAAAAAGTGATGCAGAGGGAATCATTAAGGTTTTTTTTTTTTATGATGGTGTTTTAGTGTATTAAGTGGAGAGTTTTCGATACTAGTTTACCTATTGATAAATGGAAATAATTCTAGAAAGTTATTGGTAGCAAAATTGACTTGCATGCTAAATTCTTAATAGTTGGCCATCACATTTAATGATTTATAAAGTTCTTTTACTTTTTTGAACTATAAAATTTATTTTTAAGAATCATGTAACAAGAAACAGCATATTATATAATATATAAAGTTTTGAAATTACTGTGTGGTCCTCAAGAAACTGTCCTGAAGTAGAAACATTGAATTAGGGTTCAGAAGATGTGAGTTCAAGTATCAGTTCTATTAATTACAAACACCATGTCTCTAGGCAAGTCAATAAACCTCTTTGAGCCTCAGTTTCTATATATGTAAAATGGGGATAATAAGATGTTCCATACCTATCTTAGGGGATTGTTTTTGAAGACTAGATAGAAAATATAAGCAGAAGCCCTTTATAAACCACAAAATAATAAAATACCCATATAAGGTATACTGATTGCTGTGAGTAAAAGATTGACTTGATTGATAGTAAGTAAAAACAAAACAAAACAATTAATAGAACGTGGTTGTAATTAACTAATGGACTCATGGAGAACTAAGAACACCTCTATTATACACGAATTTATGATAATAATAGCTTCTGTTTGTTGAATGCCTAAACGTGTTAGTCCTTACCTCTCTCCTGTAGAGGGGGCATTTCGCCCATTTTGCATATGAGGACACTGAAGTTCAAAGACAAATGACTTGCATATTCAGACTAGCCAGTAAATTACTGAAATGCAATTCAAACCCAGGTTAGTCTGGTTAAAGGTTTTACACCCTTAACGTTGTACCATGATGAGTAATTTTTTCCTTTTTAGTTTTTTTTTTCATCTGTACAATGGGAGGGTCATCCTAATAAGATAATCATATAGCACTTTTCAGTTTGCAAAGGACTTTCACCTAAATCATTATATTTAGCAATATTGGTCTACTGCTATTTGAAAGATATTCATTATGGTATGTTCATTAATAAATACAAATCATTATCTTGTTTATAAATTCAGGTATCCTGGAGTTCATCAGTGTGGCAGTGGGACTGGTCAGTATTCGAGGTGTGGACAGTGGTCTTTACCTTGGAATGAATGACAAAGGAGAACTCTATGGATCAGTACGTATTTTAAAAAAATTATTATAATTCTTAAAATTATGACTATCCATTTTGTAAGTAAAATATCTATCAATAGTGAATGTCATAAGAAACATATAAAATATACTTAGGTAAAAATTAAAAATCTATATCCTGATAAATTTCTATATGTCTGGGCAATAGGAAAGTAACTCAGTTTCATTTTTTAAACCCCAAACTGTTTTGCTTTCAGCTCCCTAGTTCTTCTTGCCCATTATCCTGGGTCTTTCTACTTTCCTCCATATGTTGATCATTCTCACCAGAGAAAGAGAAAAATGAGAGCATTTTCTTCTTATCATGTTAGATTCTTTTCACCTTTCCATTCATTTAATATAAATTTTCTCTACCCATTATTATCTGCCATCACTAAGTATATGTTACTTACTTGCTGATCTTCGTATATAAGAAATGAGTGGGGACGGCCCTGTGGCGTAGCGGTTAAGTGCGCGCGCTCCATTGCTGGCGGCCCGGGGTTCGGATCCCGGGCGCGCACCGATGCACCGCTTCTCTGGCCATGCTGAGGCCGCGTCCCATATACAGCAACTAGAAGGATGTGCAGCTATGACATACAACTATCTACTGTGGCTTTGGGGGAAAAAGTAAATAAATAAATAAAATTATAAAAAAAAAAGAAATGAGTGAATGAAATCTTAGGATATTTAAGCAACAACAGAAAATGACAACAACAATAATTTGACCATATCTGCAGTCTTGATAATCACAATAGCCATGAGCCCACTCAGAGTTGCATTAGGCAATTTTTAACTTGCCACTGAGGATAAGTGCACATTCGTGGGTCTACTATAAATGTTTTAAATATGGAGCTTAAAGTAAACTTTTCAGGTTAACATTTCATCAGTATAGGTTTTTAAAATTTTTTTACAACAAACCAGCAGCAACAATATGAAAATTAGAGTAACATGATAATATAAAACTCCGTCTGTAGTACGGTATAGATTTTTCTCTTTCACTGGTAACATTTTTATTTGTTCACAGTTGCTTACATAATTTTAAGAAAATTGGTAAAGTGTAAATATGTGCCACTCTTCCACACATCCTATCATATGAAATCCCTTTTTAAAGTCAAAGTCTCTATTTCCAAAGAGAATTTACTTTTTATGATTTAGCAAATGGCACTGCCTGGTACCTTCTTTTCCTTAAAATCTCAATTGAGACCACAATATACAGTTAGATTCTCAATATGGAATGAGAAAAATTGGTTATAATATTTCAGTAAGTGGTATTCCACTTAATGTCCTTTGTAAACACAAAATTTGCCCTGTCTTGGTTTTCTGTCAGCTCAGAAGAAAGAGAAATAATGCACTGTGTAATAATCATAAGAGTAGAATTACAATTAAAAGAGAAAAACATGCGCGTAACCCTCCTTCTTCATGTATGTGTTGGATTAAAAAAGTAGCTGTGGCCTATCTCTTAGAATAATATACAGTCCATCTTGAAAAGACAAGAAATTGTTGGGCTTTTACTACATTTACCTAATATGAACATCCAGGTAAAAGTTAACCATGGGGAATATATCATCAATTAATAAAGTCATGAAGGGAAGAAATATGATTTGGAGTGATGATGTTGAATGAGGAATATAGATGTTAGCAAGATCTTGAACTGTTTCAAGATGATAGTAGAGATTTGCTATGTAGAACTTGGGCATCTAATGATGGAACAAGATAAACTACAGGCCTGTTTGATGGTGATGGTGGTAGGAAGGAGATAAAAATGGAGCATGGGAAAGTTCAGAATATTTATTAAGTTTTGAAAATAAAATTGAGAATTGACATTTAACTTAAATTTCTTTGAGGTAAACTGCTGAATGAAGTCACCTGGGAGAAAGAATTCCAGGTAACAGAAGAACTAAAACAAACAAAAAAGAAAACCAATTTAATTTTTCTCCTGTGACAAGGATATAGTTATAAGCAAAGAAATAAAAATATGGAGTTGAGACTTTTCTAAGGAAATTCTCTCAAAGGTATTTTTTTAAATGGTAGTTACTTTCTCTCTTTTAGGAGAAACTGACTTCTGAATGCATCTTTCGGGAGCAATTTGAAGAGAATTGGTATAATACCTATTCATCCAACATATATAAACATGGAGACACTGGCCGCAGGTATTTTGTGGCACTCAACAAAGACGGAACTCCAAGAGATGGTGCCAGGTCCAAAAGACATCAGAAATTTACACATTTCCTACCTAGACCAGTGGATCCAGAAAGAGTTCCTGAATTGTACAAGGACATACTGATGTACAGTTGAAGTGTGATAGTGTCTTTGCTGAAGAACCAAACTACAACTATTCTCTCTTATTAGAGTTCCCATCATAAAATAATAACCCAAGAAGACATTCGGAATGTTATGGAGTCTACTTTCCACTGGGAGACTGACTTTGGAAAGAATATTGAGAACAAACAAACAAAAATATTTTGACTTGAAGTAGATCAAGATCTCTCTTTATAAGTGGACTAAGTTCCCTTAGGAACACCAGCTCAGTCCTTACTAGTAGATTGAAGCTGAAAAATCTGTTAAGCTGTGGATAATGGGAACCCCACCTAGTTTGCTGCTGGTGCCTCACCTCTCTGGATTATGTTTACTTTAAAAGTTACATTAAAAATAGATACTTCATGTTGAAGAAATGGATTGACGTAGTTGGCCAAGATTATTGCTATATAAATTCTGAGGACTTGGTAGGATTTTGCAAGTTATGGCATTATATGTAAAAGAACCTGGGTGAAATGTGGACTATGAATCATGCCACAGCAAGACAGAACATTTTTTTAAAGGATGGACCTATTTATACATTTTCAGTTTGCAAATATTTATTATATATATTTATTTATTAAAGAGTTTATTTTTTACTGGTATATGAAGATAATACAAAGAGAAAAAACACAAAAATTCCTTTATTGTGCCATTTCTTTGTTGTGGTGTCTTGGGCTGTAAAGAAGACATCATTATTGCAACACATTTAGTGTAGAATAAGAGCTTGAATTTCTTTTTAAAAATAAAGTATAGCATAGATTATATTTTTTTTGCAGTCAATTGCCTTCTAAATGTAACATTGGTTCCTTTGGCCTGGAAAAATGCTTTATCAATTTGTATTGAATTCACACATTCAAAAGGGAATTAAACATTTTTATTTTATGTTTTGGTTTCATTTCTTTTCAGGCAAAAGTTATTCTACTTATATAACATATTTTTGAAATGATAAAATTCTAAGTTCCCTGAAGAAAAAACTTTGGTATTTAGAGAACTTCTAATGTTGAAAATTATCAAACATTATAGGCAACTTATGCTTACTTATGTTTTTGATTCGGTGTGGAAAACACGATTTCTTTCACCCACTATGATCAGGGAAAGAATTAGTGTTTATGGCACTGCCGTTAATAATGGTGAGGCTCCATCTACCTCTCGGAGTCTGGAGTTTTTTCCATTGTATCTTCTATTCAGTCATATATTCAATAAATATTCATTAAAGCCAACTATACAGAAGATACTATTAGGCACTATAGAAAATCTGGTGATCAAGACAGAGATGCATCATGGCATCATGGAGCTTAATGTCTAATAGGGGAAACAGATGGTAAACAAGTAAACTAATACCATAATTGTGATGTGCTCTACGAGGAAAACAAAGTTCAGGCACGGAAAAAAAGAGAGGACAAATTTAGATAGGATGAATCAGAGAAGGCTTCTCTAGAGAGGTGACATTTCTGATGGACCTTAAAGGATAAGAAAAAGCCAGCCAGGCTAAGAGGATAATCATAGCCTTACAGGAAGAGGAAACAGTCAGTCTGGAGTCCCAAGGCAAGAAAGAGCTTTGTGGCTGGAGCTTAGTGACCAATTGGCAGAGTGACACAGATGAGTTTAGAAAGCTATGCAGCTACAAATCCTGTAGGTTCTTAAAGGCCTTTCTGAGGTTTTATTTTCTCCTGCCCAGTAGTTGTCAATGTCACCTCTCTTAGATGTAGCAATCATTGTTGGGGATGTGGTAATGATAATGGTAGTGGCTGCCACCAGTTACCAACCTGAAAGGCTTAGTAAAACTCAGATTGCTGGGCCCCAGCCCAGGAGTTTGATATGTAAGTCTGGTGTGGGGTCTAAAAATCTGCATTTTTAACAGGTTCCCAAGTAATATTGATGCAGTTGGTCTGGAGACCACACTTTGAGAACCACTAGTCTGGAGCAGTGTTTCTCAAACTTTAATGTGCATAAAAAATCACCTGGGGATCTTTCTAAAGGATGGATCTGTTAAACTGAGGTCTAGGGGTAGGAGGCAGTCTGAGATTTTGCGTGTCTAACAATGTCCTGGGTGATGCTTGATGCTGCTAGACCACGGACCACACTCTGAATGGCAAGACTGACTGTTGCTTTAACGCTATCTGGAGTTATTCCTATTAACTCATTCTCTCATTACTTAGATAAATTAATGGTGATGTTTGGGGTGAGGGTAGGGAGTTCGACATACAACTTTAACAAAGCTACATGGAAATGTGTGTGTGTGTGTGTGTGAGGAGGGTTGTGTGTGCACTTGAGTGTGTGCAGGATGAGAGACCCAGAGACAGAGAAATGTTTCAGCTCAAAACCTCTTGGTTTTAAGAATGTAAAAAATAATAGTAAAAAACTGTTTAGCATTTTTTAATACTTTAATAATCTTCAGAATTAATTCATATTTTTACTTTTATTTGTAAACAAAAGTAAAAACTAGTTTTGGTTCAATGTTTGACACCTATATTTAAAGTATGTGTCCCAAAGCTAGTATTATGCAAGTATTTCAAGTCTTTTGCAAAATGCTGCTGGTGTCTAAACTTATAACTATGGAGGAAGTCTTATGAATTTAAAGAGAGTGCATTGATCAAAGATGGCCCACCATAAATATTGTTACCCAATGAAAATTTCTTGTTTTTTGAGCTATAACAGGAATACGAGTCAAAAATTTTTTTATTGTAATAGCTACTTGTAGTGATTTGAGATAGGAAATATGATTGAAGCAATGGCTTTACAAACTTTCAGAAAACTAGGAAGTCACTATATCTTGTATTCTCATATTTACGTATTGGTGTCTGTTTTTGTGACAGAAAAACAATATGCATCTGCTGAATTGTACTACTTGAATAAATGATCTATTAAGTATCTGAATAGATTTCAATTGGTACTCCTAAATGAAAGTGGTGTGTGAACATATTAACTCATATACGGAAGGATAAGAATCATTCAGTTTATTATAAAATCAATATTTTGAAAACAGTTTATGATATCCTTAGCATGCTTGGTGAATATCTCACCCAACAGTCATCCTCTTGCTTCTTTATTTTAATTTCATTTTTAAAAGTTCTATTAGCAATCATATATTAACTTACATTTTCCATTCTTTCTTGCTTGAAATATTAATTATCAGTTGCCAAACTTCTCTACATTTTATGCAATGATAACAGAAATCTAAATACATGGGGGTAGGAGAACTCTTGCTGTGCCCATTTCAAAGGTTTTGATTTCAGTTAAATGCAATGTCAAAACAATTCAGGAGCTTAAAGCTATTGACTGTTTGTGAGATTATAGATCTATCATAAACTTAATATATAGAAGTTAGAAAACCATTCAGGCTATCACTTATATTTATAATGCAGTTTATGGAAATTGCCAGTTTTGCGAATTAACTAATGATCAGAAATATTTTATATGTATATACCAAAACTCTGACTTCAATAGATAAGTTGTTATGCCTATAAATAGGCAATTTCTAATTTCTTTTTTTTTTTGTGAGGAAGATCAGCCCTGAGCTAACATCCATGCTAATCCTCCTCGTTTTGCTGAGGAAGACCGGGCCTGAGCTAACATCTATTGCCAATCCTCCTCCTTCCCCCTGCCCCCAAAGCCCCAGTAGATAGTTGTATGTCATAGTTGCACATCCTTCTAGTTGCTGTATGTGGGACGTGGCCTCAGCATGGCCGGAGAAGTGGTGCATTGGTGCGCGCCCAGGATCTGAACCTGGCTGCCGGTAGCAGAGCGCATGCGCTTAATTGCTAAGCCATGGGGCCGGCCCAGCAATTTCTAATTTCTAATGGCAAAATTTAAAGCTATTAGGGCCTGCCCCATGGCTTAGCGGTTAAGTGCGCGCGCTCCGCTGCTGGCGGCCCGGGTTCGGAACCCTGGGCGTGCACCGAGGCACCGCTTCTCCGGCCATGCTGAGGCGACGTCCCACATACAGCAACTAGAAGGATGTGCAACTATGACATACAACTATCTACTGGGGCTTTGGGGGCAGGGGGAAGGAGGAGGATTGGCAATAGATGTTAGCTCAGAGCCGGTCTTCCTCAGCAAAAAGAGGAGGATTAGCACGGATGTTAGCTCAGGGCTGATCTTCCTCACAAAAAATAAATAAATAAATAAATAAAGCTATTATATATTATTGGTAAGTGATGAATTAGTACATTAAATGACTCCTATGTGTTCAGTGCATGCTGTTTCCACTAGCAAAAATAATTCTAGGACATCCAGGGAGAGTTTAGTCCAGATAAATCCTAATTTCAAGTTTCTGACAATCGATAATTTTATAAGATGTTTGCATTTCGGTTTATTCTAGACAGAGATCTACAAACCGAAGTTGGGCTCAATTAACCTCAGCCTGTTGGTACGGAGGATGATATCTTGGCTCTCTAGATATATGATATGTGAGGCTAAGGACATCACTTTCCTCTAGCTGACAATGTAGTAATACTAATTAGGGTATTTTGGTTAGTAGTATAATGTTGGTGGGTGTGATAAATTTAATGCATATAATTCCTTGACCCAATGTTAGAATTGCTCAGTCTCTTTCTACTGACAGAGAAGGGGTCTAGTATGACACCCCTAGTTCTTTAGAACAAACAAATATTTTTATAGAACCTACAACTAATATTATTCTAAGGTTTCCAAGCTGAGCCTACTAACCAAACCTACTGCGAACTAGTAGTGCACACAGGGGTAGTAATGAAGAAGTTGTAGGGAGGAGGGTAGATACATATTTGATTAAATTGTTTGAACAGTTCACGTCTGGTTGAACAGAACATTTCTGTAGGTCACACCTGGACATTTAAGTTCTTTAACAGTTATCTTTCTTTCACATGGTTGGGAATATGTAAATAATAATGTGGAACTGAGGGAGCAGTTTTAAACTGGTAATATTTATACCTAGTACCAATTTGTCTTCCAGTATGGACTTAGTGTGCAACATGATTTATTTTAAAACACTTCCTTCCACTTTTTTCTAAGCACTTTAGAGCAGGTTTCATTGTTCCTGTAATTATTTTTTCCCCAATGTAACTTTAGTTCTTTGAGCACAGACAAATTTTGCACAGTCTGACTCATTAGAGAAGCCATATGTTGACTGGTTAGTTTTTTCCAACAGGATTTTGCAAGAGAATTAAGCCCTGTAGAAAATAATGTGATTGACTATTTCTGAATTCTCCCAGGGAACGTATCTGGTACCATTTTAGATACATAGAACACAAGTTAATGTATTACAAATAATGGGTTCCTTAGGGCTTAATTCTTTTAGGAATCCTGTTGAGAGCCTGTTGTGAGGTTGGCTGTAGTATTGTCAGAGTACACCCTTGGGGGCACACAATTCACTGTTTCCCACAGGGATCAGACATGTTAATATAATTCTATTCCAGCTTAAACAAAATTCTCTATGCCACAATGTTTGGGTAGCGTCAGAGTAATCTGGATATGACCCCAAAGCCAATCAGATCTAAGGAGACTAAGGGGTCCATCCTATTTCATATCGTTCATATTCCTAAGCCCAAAGCCCTCATCAAGCTGTAATGGAATGTTCCAGTTACAAGGCACAGGTGCATTGCCTTGGACTTGTGGCAACAAACACTTACTGAATATTTTACCCAGTAAATAGAAACATTTAATTTACATTGTCATGCTTCTGGAGGTGTTCTAGTGTTCTTTTTAATCCTGTTGATACATTAACCACCCAGAAACAATCTTAAAATGTATTTAAATCAACCTTCATTGACATGTTTTAGCTTTTCTAGTTGCTGAAATAGAACAGATCTCTTTCCTGGTCGAATGTTCTCCTACATGTCCCAGCCATTGTTCTGCTCAATGTATGATTGGGTGTAATTACTACTTTGAGACCA